CATGATGAACCAACAACAGACACCCAGTACAAAGTAGTCATTGTCGATGGAATGGCAGAGTTACAATCACTAAAGAAACCTGAGGCAGTAAAGAATTGCGCGCAGCTAGCTGAATATTTCTGCGATCGTCTATTCACAAAGTACGCAGACAGTCATGAATTGAGGTTGATCTTTGATCGATATGATGTACCATTGTCTCTCAAAGAAGCAACACGGAAACGAAGGCACAGAATCAACCCAAATAGCCAAAGTTCCAATGAAGAGATTGCTTTCTCATAACTCGACAAAGATGGAGCTTACGAGTTTCATATCAAAGTTCTGGAACTTGGAAATGGAAAGCATTTGGTCGTTTCCTGGGGAAGCCATTGTCAAGCGAATTTCAAGGAGACACAAAATCTACAAAGCAGTCAAGAGGAAGCTGATACCAAGCTACTGCTTCACGCAGTTGATGCTACTAAAGACGGTGCAACAGAAATTGAGATTCACTCGCCTGACACAGACGTTTTTGTACTGTCCTTGAGAAGATACGCCGAATTGTGTGACAAGACATCTTTTGTGACTGGAACTGGCCAACGCAGACGAAAGATTCAATTAAAGGCTATTGTTCAAGCTCTTGGCCCAGCAAAAACCTTGGCATTACCAGGATTTCACGCTTTGAGCGGAGCTGACAATACGGGAGCATTTTCTGGCAAAGGAAAGTTGGCCTGTTTCAAGGTACTACAAGAAAATGACCAAGATATTATCACTGCCCTAGCAGCTCTTGTGACAACACAGTACCCATCTGAAGAAACCATCACGGGAATCGAAAAATTTGTGCTGTATCTACCCAAAACGGCTATCTCTAATGTGCAGAATCTGAGATGGATATTATTCAAGAAGAAGCAGGCTCAATCGGAGCGGTTACCACCTACCAAATCAGCCCTGAAAGAAGGCATCTTGAGAGCTCACTACCAAGCAATGGTATGGAACTGTGACATCATCTGCAACCCAGGGCTACCATCACCTGAAGGCTATGGGTGGCGGTTGGAGGAAAGCACATGGGTACCAGTCATGACCCCATTGCCGCCTGCCCCTGAAGCAATAATCCAGTTGGTTAAATGTGGCTGTGTTAAGGACAAATGTACCAACAATCGATGCCAATGCGTCAAAGCAGGACTGAATTGTACTGACCTCTGTAAATGTTGTGATGATGAAGAAGTATGTGAAAACCTAATGTCAGAAGAACCCAACGATGAAGATGAAAGTGAATATGAGAGTGATGGATAAATTTTCTACATGATTACATATACCTTGATTTCAAATTTCTTTTCATGTAAAAATAGTCATCTTTCCACTAGATTGTAAATAGTGATGTCAATATGCTTCAAAAAGTTTGAATTATATTTGTAGAACATTGTTTTGTAGTTTCAAGTGACACAGTAATAGTTCTGAAACTTAGATTCAATTCATTTTACCGCCTCGTTTTCATGTTAAAATGGTCATGTGACCAACCTTGCTTATAGTACTTGGTGTGTGTTATAAGCATCCCAAATGCTAATTTAGGTGATTTTACAGCCAAAGATGACTTGAAAGAACAGTATATATCTGAGTATATATGCACTTTAACTATCAACCTCGTTTTCATGTTAAAATGGTCATGTGACCACCTTAACGCCTAATACTGTAGTCAACATGCTCAAAGCATCACAAGTGGCAATTTAGGTGATTTTACATCCAATAAATGGCTTGAAACAACCGTTTATATGCACTTAATTTGTCAGCCTCGTTTTCATGTTGAAAAATGATATAACAATAATAAAACTTGAATAAAAAGTCTCCAAACAAAATTCACGACTGTCAACAACACTTTTTAGCATCAGTAGGGTCTAATGAACATATCTAGACCATTGGCTTGCTTTCAGCAGAAAATTCCTACGGGATTACTTATGCTGCTGGACTATGAAGGCGTAAGCAAATAACACATGTATGTTGTTGCGTAGTTTTTGGTTTTAGTTCCTTCAGACAAATGCATTGAAATTACGTTTAAAGACATTTTCCCGATCAGCAAGATGCGGATTTTCAAATGTTACATTAATTTATTTCAGACGGTCAGGCAGACTGTCTAGCCGCAACATCTACATACCGTCAAATAAAAGGTCGTTGAAAATACGTTACTTTATTGACTTTTTTTGTATTTCAACTTGAAAATGTAAATAAATACATAACCTTCGGATTTTCATTTTGTTCAAAAAACTCTTTTTTTCCTAAAATTCTAAAAATTCGGGGTTCAGCTTTTACCTACGGATGCGGCTTATACACGGGTAAATAAGGTAGTTCACATTCAAAATATACTTAGGTMTAGAAAAAGGATATGTTTCAGGGCCGTAGCCAGAAGATTTATCGGGGGGGGAGCACATCAAATAAGAAAACGGACCTATGTAAATGTAACAACCAAGTTCACAATTATTTACTGGTTATATATGACACATAAACATAAAACAAAGGCTTGCATCACATGAATTAATTATCAAATTATGGTATTCTTTTGTAGAATATAAGATAATGGGTTTTTYATTGATACTTTCAGTCTTTGTAGTGAATTGTTGTTGTTTTTATAGGTGATGCAGTGGTAGCAAGCAAGGATAGCCCCAGGGGCTCTTTTCCTACATCYCCTTCTACAYCTCAAGTTAATAAAGTACCAAGCCACAGAATAAGAATAGAAGTGCATGMTGGTGTCAACTTAAACAAGAACTCAGCAGATGGTCCAATCCATACAATTCATAATGTTAACTCAAAAGAAAACCTTGCCAGTATCAAAAAACTTATTAGGGATAAAGTGCCAACTGCTTGTTTTCGAGCTGGTTTTTACTGGTTGCAACCTAAACAAACAAAGCCACTTCATACATTGGTMTCTGACCATGACTTAGAAACAGCAAAGGATGCTTATCGGGATGACATCACTGGTATGGTAAAAGGATTACGTTTGGCCACAGTCATTCAAAGTGGTATRTACAAAGCTCAATGTGTTTGCATATGTACTATATATCAATGATGWTATATCTAGACACACCTTGAAATAAGGCAATAGATGCTACATGTAGCTGACAGATGTCAAATAAACCCCCAGTAGCAGCAGAGTATATACGAGAGGAATGGGGTAGACATTCAGCTCCCAATGTTTGCCATGCAGGCAAAGATTTTATTATATTCTCCATGATATATCGATRCAGATTCAAACTCTGGCCCCCAAATTTCACTTTCCTCCATTGCCAATAGTGGYTCAGTAGTAGGGTGTGYGTCTAGAAATTACAAGGTAATGGTTTCAAACCCCATCTGATGCTCTTTCATACATAAAATCARTTTAACAATTTAATTATATTACTATATCTTCAAATAATTATAGATTACTTTCTATCTGTAGATGGAGAAAGAACACAAAGTGCAAAGCGAAGTCTTACTTCAAGCATTTCAAATCAAGTATCGCGTAAGCGATCACATGAGGATGCTGAAAATGATAATGATGACGACGACAATGATGATGATGATGCAAGAGAATTTGATGCTGAATCCTTCAAATGGTTTCAAAAAGCAAGCAGTGGAAAACCTGCACTGAAAGACAACAATTCTTCGTGGAACAAGATCCACATCGAATTGAGAAAAGCATTGGAGGAGACAGGAAATCTTAGCAGATTTGGTATGAAGCATCTCTCCCTCTGGACAGACCTTATCCAAAAGGGAGATGTAGCAGGGGTAAGGGAAGAACCWGACTGGTCTAAATATAGACATATCGTAGAAGTAGAACCAGTATCAAGAGCAGCATCCRGACTAGTAACCAGTAAAGGACAAGCCAGTACAGTGCAAGGAAGTGGTGTCAGTGATCTTCTTACTACCATGCTGATACAACAGCAAATGAGAAGAGAGGAAGAGAGAGCTGAGAAACTTGAATATGAACGAAAGCTTGAAAGTGAAAGAAAGAAAGACAATACAAGCCAACAAAACATGATCCAGGCCCTATTGTTGCAGGCACTCTCATCAAGATCTCCATCAAGTGATGGTCATTCTAATACCTCCTGTACCACTACTGTCTTGGCAAACAAAGGTCAGTAGTACATGCAGTTCAGTAATTGGTGGCTATTCATGKAAGCCAMAAATGTGAACAGGGCAAACAAATAAGAAATATACATTTTTAGCAGTAACACACAGCCAGAATTAATAGAAAATGACATATTGTTTTGGCTATGAAGATTGCCAYAAAAGCTCAGGAGTCAGACTGAAGTAATTTGAAACGCCAAAATCAATTCTTTTTTATTATTGAAATAATCTTATTCATRAAACTTTAATGTGCAAACATACCATTTATCTTCTCATTTCAAGGGCTTATGGCAAAGACAAGTAATGAGGTGTGTGACATCCTCACATCCTTAAATCTTGGACAGTATGCACCATGTTTTATGGAAAATGGCATTGATGGTTCTACACTATCCTTTATTACAGAAGATGGCCTCAAAGAATTAGGAATCCTTAGCCCTATACATAGGTCTAAAATTCTTGGTTATGTTGCAAGAGAGAAGTGATTGCATGTGCTCCTCATTTTATCAGGTGTCTTTGTTTTGCTTGTTATGTTCTTTTTGTTGATGTTTGGTTTTCTGTCTTTTCCTTGAGCTCTTTGCTGTAGGTTTAAGTAACTATTTGCAAAAAAAGTAGTTTTGACAGAGACATGTAATTATGTGCAYTGATCTATAGATCTATAGATCATTTGGCATACAGATATTGTGTAAATGAACTGATTTTTTAAGATTCTATGATATAGTGTGTAAGAGAAAGAGTAGTCTGACTTTATAAACATGTAACAAGTTTTGTTATGTTGAAAATGAAACATTGTTTCAAGAATATTAATTTTTTTCACAGCTGATAATAATAACAATTTATTATTATTTATTATAATTTATTTATTATTATTTATTTATTACTATTTATTTACTCATTCCATAGGTTTTCTCAAATATGCTAATTATGTTGGSTAGTTTATATACATTGTACTTGTGACTATGTTGCTTTAAATTGTAAATTTAGCGTAGAAGAAGCCCMATCTCAAGCTCTGTAGCCACATCCATCAAAGAAACTTGTGGCTTCTTCTGTTGTTAACTGTAATGAACAGAAAGTATCTATATTACTGTATTATAGAGAACAAATATTAAAAGCATGTAGAGTGCTTGCACTTAAAGCGTGAAACAAATAGTACTAATTACTACTAAATAGTGTTGATTATACAATAGGAAACAAAGGAATTTGTATCACCTATATTTATCACCTATTTTGTAGTATTTATATTTCACACATTTGATGCGAGCACTCTAACATAAATACTATTAAAAACTACTAAACTATGCTAATTTTTAATTTGATTGGTATGATTTTACTAAATAGTACAAAGTGTTTCACACTTTTTGCGTTTGTACTCTGATCTAGTGTGCTAAAGGTTCCTCTCACAATATACCTGTTCCAATGCCCTTGCAAGACAATATTTCTTATTCATTTCTAAGAGATGTCGATGACGTTTTAATGTTTGCTTTGCTTGTCCAAATGCTGGTTCAAGGGGGTTAAAATCTGGCGAATAAGGCCTGTGAAAATGGTTTAACATTTAGTACCACAACATATATGTCACTTAAATTAAGAGAAGTATGCAAATAAAATTCTCATTATGAATATCAAAGCCTATCACTGTCACAGCCATATACACCACTCTCAATTCAGTACTTACGGAAGAAATACTACAATCCCTCCTCTCTCTCTGACTAATTGTATGAATTTGTCTGAGTCATGAATCCTGCAGTTATCAAGGACAACAACGGATCTCCTTTCACCAAGTGCAAAGTTTCCAATATAAGGAGCTATCATATGTTCTATAGCAAAGTTAAAATCTTACTAAAGAGTACTAAAGGCACCAGGAATTGTGTGAGTTGCAACTATACCATCTATGTCCATGGCAGCTAAAACACTGTATCGGTCTTGTCTGATGAAATGGCCAACAAAATCTGCATTGTGGTCAGGATAGAAATGACCCCAGATTCTCTGTAATATCACATTATTTGCTTATTAGCCCAGCATATTGATAAAATTGATGATTAGTATAAAAATAGATATTAATTTGATTGATTAAAATACCAAAATGTGAGTGGGTCTAATTGATAACAATTTTTGATAGGTCAGTTAACTGACCTATCAACTGACCTATCAAAAAGTTTATATAAGCTTAGCTATGAAATAGAAACTGGAAAAAATCAAACAAAGCATGGCGTGAGTTCACAGGAAATATTSATATGAGCTAGATCTCACTGTGCCAAATGCATAGAGGCAGATCTTCTTTGACATAACTATTTTTTTGGCTTGTGTCTGCAGTCACACTATTGGTCACCTATACTCATAACATCCTAAAAGCATTATTGACATTCCTGTACATGGATATGTGAGCTAATATGAATTATGCCAAATTCATGAGATACTTTTTTACCTGCAATCTACTCTTATCTTTTGCTGACTCATCAAGAAAGAGGAGCATTTCTCTTTGAAATTCTGAAATTAACCTGCAGTAATTTGCTCTCTCTGTATCAGAACGTTGGATGGCAATTATTTTGAGCTGTAAAAAGATTCATTTGCATTAGTGTCACCATACACGTACAGACTAATTTTTTAGTGTGTTTATAATATGTAAATTACAAATTGGAAATTTGAAAAAGTTTGAATCAATGCAATTGAGAAGAATATCAACTAAACTTATTAAAAAATATTTTCTATCTGATTTATAGTTCAAATTTGGCTTTATTAGCTTGTAAACATCAAATGCATTGCAAATAATACTTTGCACTTAGGTATAGCTATATTTTGCATAAATGTTATTGGCATAGAAGATTTTAGAGCATATTTTTATATTATTATTCATTTTGAATGAGCTATAGTTGCAAATAAATTACCTTCTTATGAGTAAAACCAAGGCGTATAATTGACCTGCACAAGGTTGAAATACTGACTACTTTGCCTGTCAGCTCSGCAAACCACGTTTGATACTCATCCAAATACAGTTCAGGCTTTGTAMGAACCATGAGCTTGAGGGTGTTGTTTTCTGCATCTTGAAAAKATATTCTTATGATGAACTAACACACAMATTTTTTTCTTTTCTTTTGTWATGTCAACAAGTTGAGTTTACAATAAAAAATTATCAAGCAAGCAAAAAAATAAYTGCAACATTGTTGTTTAAATTAAAGGTTGAAAACGAAGTAACTTATGTTKAAATGWAACCTTCTTTCCAAGAAATAAAWATATTCTTATTCGTATTACTGTAAAAACCCTGATTGATTAAATACAAGTTTACAATGACACTTACATGTGAGAAGTCGAGGCCTTCCACGCCGTGTATGTACAGCAACATTTCCTGTACGTTTGTAGAGTTGTCGAATTTTACACACAAACGTTTTCCCTACAAATAACGCTCTACAMGTTTCCTTAATACTTGAACCGTAAATAAGTTCATGGTAAATGACCCTCGGAGTTTGAACTTCGCTTCGGATGTGGCGTTTTCATGCATGTTTTCCTCAACTCAAATTCGTCAGAATAATAAAATTCGCTTGAAAAATATTCTTCCACGTCATTCTTTGCTTGCTTCTCGTATAGTTATTCTCAAATTCAGTTCAAAAAAATCAAATCTCGCGCCTTGAAAAATGTCAACAAACGGGCGCTCGGGAATATGACTTTCGGACCGTTGTCATGGTAATCGGTCGGAGATGGCAAAATATCCAAGTCATATAATAACATGGCGTCCTGCTGATGTCCGTGGCTTCAAAGGAGTCTTTCGTTTCAAAATCATTTAAAGCTCGTCGTGTAGGACAATCGATATTCGTGGGCGTCAAACCCGCTTTTTTTTGTTTTGTTATTTCTTGATTAAGAAAGAAAAGTTATATAATAAACGAGTTATTAAACTTGCTTGCTCGGTCTGTACGAGAAAATCTCAGAAATTGGTCGTTTATGTACGGACCTCGCGCATGATAAATTCTGATTTGATGTTATTAGTTGGTCTGTTGAATAGCCAGGCCAAATATCCTCAGATTATTCATGCATGCTTTTTTCACCAGAGTTTGCTTACTCGTTTTTTTTTTAACTTTTAGAATTCTGATGATGAAGAAGAAGGCAAGTCTTGTTATGGGCTGGATCCAGAATTGCAAAATATTCAACTGTGTTCATTTGAAACATTTGAGGAAGATTTGGCTAATAGTCCCAAACTCCACTGCACCTCAACTACTACTGTGTTGGAGACAGTTATAATATTGCTTGATTGGTTTTCCTCACACTCATCTTTGAGTAAGGAAGCTTTCGCAAGTAATTTGAAAATATGGCCGTTGATACTCCCATAAGGAAATCTGCTTCCAACTTCTCTCAAAGAAGCATACAAAATAGTTAAACCATTCATTGTGCATGAAATTGTGTACGATGTATGTCCAAATGACTGCATACTGTTTCGCAATGAACACAAAGACAATACAGAATGCCCCAAATGGAAATCACAACGATTTAAAAATGGGAAAAATTCCTTGCAGAACCTTCCACTATTTGCCCTTGGGTCCCAGAATTGCTCGAAACTATGGAATTCCATCAATTGCTGAACTTTTCCAGTGCCACAAAAGGGGAATAGCAATGTAACCTTTCAGATGAAGAGTTTATGCGAGACATCCACAACTCGCCCTATTGGAAGAATGCATTTAGTGTTGATGCCCACTTTCAATGTGCCTCGATGGACTTAATCCATGGAGTAAAAATAAAACAAACTATTCCATGTGGACAATAGTCTTCAGCCAGTTAAATTTGCCCAGACATCTGCGGTTCAACTTCTCAAACCTCCTCCTTGTAGAAATAGTCCCAGCCCAGTGTAGTGGATTGGAACCAAAGACCTTGGACCCATATCATGAAGTTGTTATAGATGAAATAATGTCTATGGCATCATTTAAGATCTTTGATGCCTACCAAAAAGCACCTTTCAATGTCAAAGTTGAAGTATTGTTATATGTGCGTGACTACCCTGGTATAGGCAAAGTCTTTCCTATGACTGCATGTGGTTCATATGTTTACTGCTCACACCTACACAAGATGATATATTATGGTAACAGGCGTTTTGTACCAAAAGAAAGTCCATTGAGACAAGATATTAAGAATTTCCTTGAGAAATGCAAGGAAACAAGAATGCCACCAGACAAACGAACTTTTTCTCAGGGTTCGCACAGATTGATTTTTACATATAGGACTTTTTAAGGATTAATTTTCAATTTTCAAGGACACCAATTACAATAAAGTTACTAGTCCTGTGTCTTACCAAACAGAACAATAAAAACATTGTAGTCAACTTTGTTTAAGAACTTTATCTCTTGGAACATATTTTTCTCAATCTCTGTTAATCGTATTGCACAACAGTACAACAGACATTGCCAAAAGGATTGAAATATTATCAATTTGCTTCAAAGCTTGGCAAAATTGATCTCTAAAACATTAGTTCACAACAACCAAGACTGATTCAAGGACTAAATTATCATTTTCAAGGACCTAGCTCCAAAATCAAGGACTTTTCAAGACTGTACGAACCCTGTTTCTGTTGACCACATGTTTCACAATGCCTTTGGGAGGGCAGAAAGTACAGCACAGAAAACAAGAATTGCTTCAGAGACTGGTTGTCTTGCATCAAAGTATCCCTCCTTTGACCAGGTAACACAGTCAGTTCAAGATGCAATGCACACTATTGCCGTTCAAGTTAAGCATCTTTTGAGATGTTTGTCTGGAAAGTCTCCAGAGGATGGAGTAGCTGTAGGGAATGTTGAGAAAGATTTGGGGAGATTCCCAGCTGCTTGGCAAGTATCAAGTACAGATGGCAAGGAAACATCACCACAACCTTCATTTGGACTACGTAAAAAGGAGATGGAGGAAGCTGAGAGGAGAGCAATGGAGGTGATTGTGCCTAAGAAGGACCCATTTAATGCTGGACCAATCTTCTCTAAAATATCCAGGCTAAATTCCTTTGAATTAAAAGAGGTTAGTATATAATAATAGTTTGATAAGCACAATATTTTGCATGGGAAAAAATATTTTGACGCTTTCAAGGTCTTACATATCTTGCATATCCATCAAATTGTTGCAATGAAAATGAAATTACTGTAACATTGACAGTCACAATAGCTACTAGTAATTGTGATTCAATGTCACCATGTGTGAATTAATAGCCAAGCTCACAAAGAACTACAGCAATTTCATGCCATATTATTTTGTTTGGAAAATAATAGTAATAAGGCACTAACTTCCTGTAAATTCAGTCAGTTGTAAGCATACCAAAATGAATAAAAATTTAAATCAAGCCGCCAATGGCAACACAACTCGAAGGTTGATTGTGCAGACGAATACAGAAAGATATAATGATGAATCAAATTATAATTACTTAACGAATAGAATTTTAAATAAACGTTTTTTAATATAGTTTTATAATTTAACTTCGGTTCTGGATAAACACAAGCGAGCGCCGGTGAGATGAATACCACTCGAGCTACAACTATGAGTAA